ATGTGTCAAAAGCAGAATTAGGAAGAAGGAGATATGTTGTTTGCATATGGATGGACAATTGGTGGATGATGTACAGACGTTAAGACAGAAGATTGTAGAGCATTACACAAGTTATTTCAAGGATGAGGAATGGAGAAGACCAACATTGGACGACATAGATTTTAACAGGCTCTCCCCAGATTCTGCTGCCATGTTAGTTGACAATTTTACCGAAGAAGAAGTTAATAAGGCAGTTTGGGATTGCGGAGTTTCAAAGGCACCAGGCCCAGATGGATTTAATTTTCAATTCATAAGAGAAATGTGGGAGGTGTTGAAGGAAGATATCGTGGGCTTCATACAAGAATTTCATGAGAATGGCAAGTTAGTCAGAGGATTGAATGAATCTTTCATTGTACTCATCCCTAAGAAGGAGAATCCATTAGAGTTGGAGGATTTCAGACCCATTTCCCTAATTGGTGCTATGTATAAAATCCTAACTAAGATACTCGCAAACAGATTGAGTCGAGTTATGCAGGAAATCATTGGGGAACAACAAACAGCTTTTGTGAAAGGTAGATAGCTCATGGATGGTGTAGTGGTTGCAAATGAGGTTATAGATGAAGTACGCAGGAAAAGAAAGAGTAGCTTTGTATTCAAGATTGATTTTGAGAAGACTTTTGACAAAGTCAGTTGGAAATTCCTAGATTACATGCTAGAACGTATGGGATTTGATTCCAAGTGGTGAGGTTGGATTCAAGAATGTCTAAGCACCAGCAGAGTTTCAATTTTGGTTAATGGTAGTCCTACAGATCAGTTCTCAGTCAATCAAGGGTTGAGGCAAGGTGATCCGCTGTCATCGTTCTTATTCTCGATAATTGCTGAAGGCTTGAACAGAATAATTACGTCAACCATTTCAAAAAAGTTGTTTGTTGGTGTATCAGTAGGTTCTGATCAGTTGAACATTTCCCACTTGCAATTTTCAGATGACACGATTTTATTTGGATATGCTACAGAGGAAAATATATGGGCTGTGAAGTGTATCACAAGAATTTTTGAGCTTGTTTCTGGACTTAAGATCAACTATGTGAAAAGCCAATTGATGGGAGTGCATGTGGATGAAGAATGGCTATCAAGAGCTGCTGCAATTTTAAATTGTAAGCTGGGAATTATGCCTTTCAAGTATTTAGGGGTCCCTATTGGGGACAACCCAAGAAGATTGAAAATCTGGCAACTGCTGGTGGAAAATTTCAAGAAGAAGTTGTCACAATGGAAAGGGAGATTTGTATCTATGGGAGGTCGAATTACTCTGATAAATGTTGTGTTGTCAAGCTTACCATTATTTTTGATGAGTATGTTTCTCATTCCAAAAGGGGTGGTTAAAAAATTAGACTCCATTAGGAGAGCTTTTTTATGGGGAGGGAATGATGAGAAAAGAGTGATTAATTGGGTAGGGTGGGAAAATGTGTGCAAAAGCAAAGAGGAAGGGGGTCTTGGAGTGAAAAATCTTCGAACTTTTAATTTAGCCTTAATGGGGAAATGGCGGGGAAGGTTAGCTAAGGGGGAGGGTGGTTTGTGGCACAAGGTTTTAAAGGCTAAGTATGGGAGAGGGGGCGTAAATTGGACGAGATGGATGAAAGAGAACAGTGAGTTAGGATCTCTATGGTGGAGAGATGTATGTAGGCTAAATGAGATAGGGGGGAGTAACATAGGATGGCTAGAGAAAGGTTTTGAGTTGGATGTGGGGGAAGGTAAGGAGATGCTGTTTTGGAAGGAGAATTGGGTGGGGATTGGTGAGTTGGCCAACTTGTTCCCTAGACTATTTTTATTATCTACAGGTAAAGAAAATGTAATAAGTCAAATGGGCAAATGGAAGAATGGAGAGTGGACTTGGGATTTGAAGTGGAGGCATGCTCTTCGGGAAGAGGAAGCTATCCAATTACAGAATATGATTAGTAGGTTGAACACCAAATCACTTACCAAGGGAAGAAGGGACGTATGGCACTGGAAACATGATCAAAATGGCATCTACAGTGCAAGTTCAGGTTACCAGACACTATCAAGATCCTTCTCACCCATAAGGGGGGTAATTTTCAACAAGATTTGGAACCCCCACATACCCACAAAGGTCAGTGCATTCAGTTGGCTAGTCACGCAAGATAGAATTCCATCTAAAGTTAATTTATGGAGGAGGGGAGTATTGAGAGATGTTAGTATGATTATGTGTAAAATGTGTGAGGGTGATGAATCAACAAGGCACATATTTCTACACTGCCATATAGCTAATATATTGTGGGGAAGATGCTGTCGTTGGTGGGGTGTGGAAGGTGTTCTTGCTGAATCCTGTTCAAAGGCTTTTGTTCAACATGAAGGCTAGTTCAGAGATAAAAGGTCAAGGGAGGGATGGGAGGTGATTTGGTTTGCAGTCATATGGACAATTTGGTTAGCTCGTAATGGAAAAATCTTCTACAATGAGACAGTGGATACAGACCAACTATTTCGATTGATTCAAGCCAGATCATTCATATGGCTTAAGGAGAGAAAAAGAGGACACAAATTTTCCCTCTCAGACTGGTTGCAAGATCCTAGATTGAGCATGAGGAATGGTTAGCAAATTTTTGAATTTGTGTGTTTATGTATGTTTTAAGAAGAAATCTGTCCAAAGTCTTGACATTTTTTTGGATTTGAGGAAGGGTTGCTGGCTGTATGTTTTCCGGCTGGGATTGGATGCAAAACCCTGTGGTGTGTTTTTGAAGGACTAGATGTGCTATTCTACCATTAAGGAAATTGCAAAAAAGATAGAAACCCGACATGGGTGTGGTGTCGACACATAAGTTGGTGTCGACACCATACAGTAAGCATCCAAAATTAGCAAGGATTGTTCAGCTCTCATTAATTTATGTCCTTCAAGTTGAAATGTTTATGGGTTTGGAGTACCCCTTGTATTCCACTTTTTAATAAATGTCACTTTTTGCTGTTCAAAAAAAAAAAAAAAAGAAGAATATGGCATCAATTGGTTTGGTTTTCCCAAGCTATTCCTAAGCATAGCTCATAAGTTGGCTAGCTATGCTTAATCGACTAACTACAAGGGCAAGGTAGAAGCAATGGACTCCCATGATTTCTGATATTTGTATCCCTTGCAATGGTAGTCCAGAAACAAATGAGCACCTCTTTTTTAAATGTAGCTACACAAGAAGAATATGGCAGCAGCTTAGCTCTATGCTGGGTATCTCATTCGCTGACTCTTAGCAAGGTTTACTACATGGATGGGTCAAAAACTCATAAGGAAGATTTTACTCAAGTTGCTAACTAAGAGTTTGGAATGCAGCAGTCTTCCACATATGGTTAGAAAGAAACAGAAGGTTTCACCAGCAGCTTTTTAGAGTGGAGAGCACGATTATTCAAGACATTCAATTCGAGGTAAGGAGCAAGATTCTGGGTTTTGCTTGGCCAAACTCTTGTTCTCTACCATGGCTATTGCATGCAAATAGGGGGCTTGAGACAGTTGTGAGACACTAACCTTTGTGCATTGTTTGTACAATTTTATCATTTTTTTACAGTTTCCTTCTGCTTTGTAGCAGCTTATTAGCTGCTTTATTGCAAAAATAGTTATATTGGATAATAAGTTTCACATTTTATCCAAAATAAATAAATAAACAGAGTTGAGGAAAAAAAAAAAGCAACCAAACAGATCGTGTATGAACAAGATACCCACATGAAGTCCAAGACTATGAGGCTTAAAATAAAATACCCAAAATCAATTCAAGTGTCATGGACAACAAAACCTTTAAACCGATAAACCTTCGTCTCACCCTCCGTTACCCGCTTGTAACCCTTCCTCCGCACGATCATTCTCTCTCCGTCCTGACTGATACCCAAAAATAGTTTTGGAGTAAAAAAAATACCCTTAAAATTCACAAAAATCAAAAAAGCGCACCGACTATTACCTTTACGAAGAACTCTACTTATTTGATTTTGAAGATCCTTGGGAGGAAATTATTTCTGCAGAAAGTTTGAAGATATCGATATCAGAAACAAGAAAATCCAAGGCAACGGTATGATAATTTCCAAGGTTTTGAGAAGAGAAAGAAATTGAATTGGTCCGAAGAATGGATGGATGAAGCGAAAGGGCAACAGAGAAAAGAAGGAACCGTTGCCAGCGAAGTGGGGAGTACAGAGGAGAGCACGCTGAGACTGCTTCTGATAACATGCAGCGGCCGGTGAGCATGCTAAACATTGTCATCGTTATGTATCGGCTACTATTGTAACGGATGGAATTCTAATAAATGTTAAAAGATTAATGCACCTGAATCAAGGCAGCTAAAACTGCATGTGCATGCATCTAGCCAAGTTTGGTTGGCCACTTCTCAGAAAAAAAAAATCTGGGAAGCCGACTAAAAATGCAATCAACTTGGTTTCGAATATAAACGGTTTTATTTTTTTATAGGTAAGGTATAATATAATTAGTTATAAAATAAAATGTAATAGATTATATTTTTAATATTATTGACTATTTTTAAAAAATAAGTGATTATATATTAATGTACTCAATTAGTGTGTCAAGATTTCTATATGCCTAAAACATCTACAAAAATATCATGGGCATATGTTGGTGAAAGATGACCATTATCACCAAGGCACTATCAGTTGTTTTTTTTTTAACAGAAAAAATAATATTTTATTAATAAATGGAGTACAGTCACTATCAGTTGTTATCAAGGCATAATAGGAAAACAGAGCAAGGAACAAAAAGCTCACTGGGAACAAAAGGA